TTTGGGTACCAGCTGCTCTAGATGGTTCCAATTTGGTTAGCTGAAATGGTGCACCTTTTTACAACATTCTGGCAAGAACTCCAAATAGGAACCTCAGAAAAACCCTACTGAATACCCAGAGAGTATTTGCAATTATACAGACAGTAATCTTGAAACTTGACCATTATTCTTCTTTCACAGGATTCCATAGAAAGAATATCACCCCCATGACAGCTGGAAGTAATTCTAGAAGACGACATCCCCTCTTCCAACAAAGTTTGTTCTCAGGGTTAGGGGCGTAATTAGGAGTTGATTATAATTGGTATAGGGGGGGAATTATGTAGCTCAGGGATCTCTGCAAAAAAAAAGGGCAGTTGGATGGGGTAATAGGTAGATTAGTATGAGCTTACTCACACTAATAATAATAGTGAATAATAGCATGAATACTTGTGAGCTATTATTTATAGGCAATTTACATTGGTATAGATTCTTGTATATTGACACAAACTTAAATTATATTGAATATGTTCCTATTTTTGTCTACAATATTTGTATACCTAGGCAAAGTTATTTTGTCATATTGTATGCATGCATGCTTCTACCTCTACTTAAGACATTTTGTATATTGATACATTTTGAGGTCATTGTTCTTATTTGTTGCACAGTTGTTTAAAGATTGTTTAATATTCTAATATGAAGTCTTAGTCTTTAAGATATATAGGTATTAAGAATTATAGGTCAATAGTCATCCATGTTTGTTATACTTATAGTTAGACTAATCAGGTTCTTTAGATACATAGAGATTGTATTCTGCAAAGATAGGTAATCTTCAACTACTTCAAAGACCTGTTGAATATGACATTTAAATAAATTAGGGTTGTGTTGACATGAAACACAATTGCTCCTGGCAGCACTGATCTATTCCCTAGAGAATGTTGAGCACCAAAGACACTCCACTTGGAGCTTGTTTTCCTCTTGGAAAAACTGGCCTTTGGGCAAGGAACTGTCCATGCATCGACCACTGACAAAATGCATGATGTCCAGACAGGACAAGCAGGATACTAGAAAAAAGACTGTCAAATCTTGCCAAGACAGGGTAGGACAGTTCTGAAAAATTTCCTGCCTCTGAAAATAGTCTGTCAGTTACTGTAGGTTTTAGCCATAGTTGGTTGCTCCAATATTGCAAATGAGACTTTGGGTGATTGTCCAGGTAGCCAGTTGTCTCTGTCATTTGTTGTACATTTTGAAAGTTGCTTGATTGCACTTCCTGCTTAATCAAGTAATATTATTTTCCTTCTATGGTCTTTGATGGGGTTGAAGACTAGATAGTCATAGTTACTTTCCTCTCATGACTTGGCCAAATTATTTATAATACAGTACTTAGACTCCTTAGAATAGGATAATTATTGAAAGATTTATCACGTTTCTTGCTTGATAATGTTTATACTGCTTATAATTCTAATTTTATACTTGATATTTGTTCTTATTGTATATAATTTTGTATTATGCTTAGCATTCTCTTATTTAAACAAAAGGGGGATGTGCTGTAGGAACTTATTAGGGGCTTAAAAACTAAATGTAGTTCTATGGATAACTCAGTGGCCTGCCAGTTCCCTAAGGTGAACACATAAATGGTTCATCTCAGGTACAATTTTAAGCATTGTATTGCTGTGGGACAATGGTCTTGTACCCTGTAAAGATTTGTCACTTGTATTGGTTTAATAAAGTGCTGATTGGCCAGTAGCCAGGCAGGAAGTATAGGTGGGGGTGACCAGAATAGTAGAATTCTGCGAAGAGGAAAGGCTCAGTCTGCAGTCATCGCCCAGATGCAAAAGATGCAGTATGAAAATGCCTCTGATAAAAAATACCAAGCAATGTGGCTAACACAGACAAAAAAAATATAGGTTAATGTAAGATGAAAGAGTTAATTTTTAAGAAGCCTGAGCTAATAGGCCAATTATAATTATAATTAATGTAGACCATTCTGTGTTTCTTTGGGACTGAGCAGCTCTGGGACCTGGCAGGACAGAAATCTCTGTCAACAGTGTATGGGTGTTATGCTAAGGAATTTAGATAAAGTAGTAAATTTACTCCTCACCGTGAATGTTTGAAGTGTGATGTTAGGATTCTTATTATAAAGATGAAAAAATGGAAGTCTAGACATGGTTTAGAATGCCTCAGGAGGCACAATGAGTAAAGGAAGTGGATTGAAACTTAACCCTTAGCATGCTGCCTCCTGAGTAGACTAGATAAAAGTCTTTGGCCCTGTGGCTCACAGTAACCAGAAAGCATCCATATCTGCAATTTTGATCTGCAAGCTTTTCCTATCTCTTCCCAGGTAATCTTTAACCTCTTTCCTGAACTCCAAATGTCATTTAAATTTCCAATTTGATTGGAGCTAAAGATCTTGTATTTGTACTATACTGACCTTTTTAATGTTCTATTTCCATCAAGAAAGTAATATTCATGAGACACAGGCTTGGTTTTTCTTTTGCTTAGAGAAAGGCAATCAGTACCTCTCCCATCTTTATGATATTGGTAATTGTCTTGTTAGGGTTTCAATTGGTGAAACAAAACACCATGAGCAAAAAGCAAGTTGGAGAGGAAAGGGTTTGCTTGGCTTACACTTCCAGATCATAGTTTATCATTGGAGGAAGCCAGAACAGGAGCTCAAGGAGGTCTGGAACCTGATGGCAGGAGCTGATACAGAGGCCATGGAGGGGAAGTGCTTACTACTTTCCTTCTCCTGGCCTGTGCAGCCTGTTTTCTTATAGAACCCAGGATCACCCTCCCAGGGATGGCACCACCCACCATGGGCTGGGCCCTTCCTCATTGATCACTAGTAGAGAAAAATACTTCGCAGCTGGCTCATGCATTTCCTCAACCGAGGCTCCTTCTCTGGTGACTCTAGCTTGTGTCAAGTTGACACACAAAACCAGCCAGTACATGAACCAATGAAATGTTAGCACCATTTCCCTTGGTGGTGTCATATTATTGACTGGAATGTTCCTAAACTTCTCTTACTTTTTTACTACTGTGAAGAGACACCATGACAAAGACAACTTATAGAAGAGTTTAATGGGGGTTTGCTTACAGTTCCAGAGGGTTGAGTCCATCACCATCATGGCAAAGAGTATGGCAACAGATAGGCAGATACAGTGCTGGAGCAGAGGCTGAGACCTTACATCTGACCCATAAGCAAGAGGCAGACAGTGCAAGAGAATGGAATGCCCTCAGCTTTTAAAACCTCAAAGCCCAGTGACATACCTCCTAACTCTTCCTAAGCAGTTCCATCAGCTGTAGACCAATCATTCAAATGTGTGTTGTCTATGGTGGTCATTCTTACCTGTATCATCAGTTTCTTCTTGGTGTGTGGGGTATGCAGTGTTCTGTAGATGTGTGTGGACATGCATGTAATGGCCAGAGGTAACACTAGGTGTCACCCTCTATGGCTTATTTGCAACAGCATCTTTCACTAAACATGGAGCTTACCAATTCAGTGAGGCTGGCTGGTCAGTTCAGAGTTCTTCCTGGCCTCACACGCCCAGAACTGGAATCATCAGCACGGGCCACTGCTTCTGATCTTAACCCAGGTCCTTATGATTGTGTGGCAAACACGTGACTATCTTCCCAGGCCTTGAAATAGCCCCAGTTGTAAAGATTGCTTATTATATCAGGTGCACTTTTACTTTGCCAATCATTTGTGGATTAGTCTTATCTGTTTGATCTGGTTACTGATTTTTTTTTTAAACCTTGGAGTGGAGTTTTCATTTTTGAATTAAAGGAAAAAAAGGACCACTGATGTATTACTCATTAAAAAAGTAAGTTAGGGGTTGGAGAGATAGCTCAGCCATTAAAGGGCTGGGCTCAGAACCATAAAGAAAAGCCCCTTCAATTAGGAAATACTGCTCTATGTTTATTTTCTTCTAATGGTAGTGTGATAGATCTACATTAATATGTTTTGGTCAACAGAATCAGTTTGCTCAGTTGATCTGGTATCATTCTAATGAAAACAGTGAGATCTGGCCGTGTGCAGTATGTCCTTCTGGTCAGTCTCTGTTTTCTGCAAGCCATTCACAAGAGAGGAGACACTCCAAACACAGTGACGGCACATTCAAAGGTGGAGGGGACGCTGCATTTAGTTGACAGTTTGAGACATCTTACTAGAGGTTCTCTGGGGTGGGGAGAACAGTAATTAAAAAAAAAAAACACTATTGAACTGATTTCCCGTTAGAAGACACACAGAAAACAGAAGTAGAAATAGAATTTTGAACTTCTTTTGTTTACCTTCTAGGGGGTGGAGAGGCGTTGCTTGATTCACACAGAAATAGATGTTTGGTTACAAAAACACAGTGTAAGTCTGTAGGAATCAAAGACTGTCTTACCCTTGCCCCCACTCTAGGCTATAAAATAGCATCAATACACTTTTTATAAAAATGAAATAAATTAGGTAACTAACAGGATTCTTGGATCTTAAGAAAACTCAAAATCACTTGTTTAAGAAAATGGAAATATCTCTGAGTTTTTAAGACTTTCTCTAGTTGCGGTCTCTGGAGGTGAGATGGGAATGGACCGGGGCAGTAGTGGAAGTATGAACTCTTGTGTTACACACATGGCATCCAGTCAGCCGGGAACGGTAGCCTGCATGATGCAGCTGACATGACTTCCCATTTCTGTGCTCTGAACTGTTACACACAGCAAGCACTCTATTCAAGAACTATGTGAGTCTCCCCCACACCCTGACAACCCCCAGGTTTACTGCATTTAGGATACCGCCTAATGAGGGCAGGCGCTTTCCTGAGTCTTGTTTCCAAACTTTTCTACCCTCTATTTCTTTAACACAAATAACTTATAATCACGACACCTCCTTTTAAAACACCCAGGAAGTGAGGGTTTGCAAGGTTTCAAAAACAAAAAACAGCCCTACCTCCCACATCTTCCCAGGAGACGTTCAGAAGACCCAGTGTGCAGCGTCACGGGGCGAAGTTACTCATTACAGATAGAACTTTAGGACCAGCGGCCAGTCTCACAGACACTGCTTTATTGTAATTGCTTAAAAGTTATAAAGGAAAAAAAAAAAACTACAGTAGCAGTCAAAGGAGACAGGGGCAAGGAGTCCATCTCGTCGAAAACTACAGGGATTTTAACTCCCTTACTCCTTGGCTTCTGCAGAGGCTCCTCAGCTCTTCCAGCAGGCGTCACTATAATCACAGAACAAACATTCGACAGCACGGTCTGTAACTTTATTATTTTTTTTTTCTAGCATAATAATTTAAAGTATTTACACACTGCACACTCACTGTTTTTACAGATACTCATATGCCTACAAACCACATCTACAGGTTTCTCTGGAAAGACTCGGCACAATGTGGGGGATTTCTAAGCACAGTGAAGCAAAGTGTTTTTTGAGTCTTCTCTAAAGTTGCCACATGACTCTGTGAAAAAACCAGTGTTTTGGCCCAAGTTTTAAGCTCTCCCAGGAGACCCATGGCGAGCTATAGCCTGCCTATTCATATGCTGGCATGGTCTGAAATTCTTTTGGCTAAAGACTTCATGAAGCAAGTGCAAGCAGTGTGTTCTTAGAAACCCCAAAGAAAACCTGGCCCTTCTCTACAGAAATACTTTACTTTTAAAAGTTATCTGTGGGGACTGTCAAGGTCATACAGACACTGATTATTAGGGAGAAACACACACCACACTCTATTACTATTACTACAGTTGTAGTACATCTCACAGGCACCCTTTCCCACTAAAGAATACAGCTAAGCAAGCTTCCTTTTCCAAACTATGAGTAGAGGTGGTGGTCTTGTTCTCCCTACAAAAGGATAAAGGTGTATCTATCAATCACACTCTAAAGCCAGACACTGCAGAAACTTCTATTTTTTTTCTTTATACTATTTGCACAAAAATAGTGGTTAAAAGTAGCCAACATCTCTCCTTCCTTGTTCTACTCAATTACAAGTTACTAGCTACTGACGGATTCTGGTCCATGACTCCACAGATGGACAAAAACGGTCATGCTTTCGGGTTGGAAGGTCCTAATCTAGTTTTCTTAAAAAGACCTTTTTTTTCTTTTTTTTTACAGGGTAAGATTCCAGCTCTCTGGAGTTTTCAGCTTTTAAAGATGCCTTCATAATTTCACACAAGGTAAGGGTTTGCTGCTCCTAGATAAACACACCATCCCACCTTGTGATGATTATCACTTCTCTAAGAACTTTACAACATGACACCCTTTCCTGCCGCCAGCCTGAGTGTGTCAGTGCCACCAGCCAACAGGACATGGCTAAATCACTCCAGTATTTAAAGTTCGTATCTTTTGCTTGCATTAATGTAAACCTTAAAAATATTGTATTACTTCTTGGAACCAAACACTCACATTTAGATATAATAATACAAACCTATCTATTCAGGAGTTAACTCTGCTACTCTCACAGCCCTTTAGAGTTGGTACCAACAATGGGGTGGCAGAGGCAAGGAGAGACTTTACTATATGGGGATTTCGCTAAGTGACTACAGATGTTAAGATGGCAGAGCTGAAAAGACAGAGGCCTCTTGGGCAGCGCAATGCCTAGTTAACAAACATCGGGACTCACCAGCATCCACAGGCAAGTGTGTATCGATACACAAGGAAGATTTCCTGATCTCAAGGCCCCACACCTGGACCTTATATCAGAGGAAGACTAACAGCCAGAGTTTGGAATCCTGAGGTGCGGTGAAGGAGACATTGGGGGGAGCCGGAGAGAACCATTAGGATTCCAACCAGCCAGGGAGGAGAGAGTTAAGAACATGATTTCTACAAACTGCGGAGAGGGAGAGCAAGGCATGAAATCTACTAAGTTCTGATTTGGTTTTCCTTAAAGAGTTAAAGGAGGGGAAAACTACAATTTAAACAGGGTTAGGGGACTAGATCAGGCGTAGGCGTAGCAAGATGCCTGGGATCTACCTGAAACAGCCATCACCAGACTCTTCACAAACGGTCAATCTCACAGGCCACATGTGCTCAAATGTCACAATCAGAGTAAGAAGGACTGCAGTTGTAGCAATATTGTCCCCACATTCTGAGAAAGTGAGTTGCTAGAAACAGGGCTCTTAAGTGAGATCCGTGTTTTAAGAATCAAAAGTACTTGCAAGGGCGGGAACAACTTTCCTCTCAAACTGACACTGCAGGTAGGGAGACCGCTCCATCTTGGCAAATCAGTAGCAATGGACGTGCAGGAGGAACACCCAGGGTAGCTGCAAACTGGTCACCTTCAAATGGATTGTTGTGGTGTCTGTGTATATACACTGTACATATTAGCCAGGTACACACATAAATATTTAATATATAAAAAATAAAGTGCTTTCTAAGAGGTCCCTAGGCAGGGACATTATAAAACATTTCACAAAACTGCAAAATAAAATTGATACAATCAAAAAACACTACAACCAACATATGTGAAAACAGCCAAACACATAATGTACAATCTGGTGTTCCAGGACAAACATCTGTCATATACATGGTATATACATATATATACTCTTTCACTCAATATATTATGACAATATATATTTAAAATTTTGTTATAGACAAAAAAAAAAAAAAGAAAAAAAAAACCAAAAAAAAAAAAAACCCAAAACAAAAAACAAACAAGCCCTACAAAAACACAATAAGGACCAGGCATGTGAGTCCAAGACCAACGGACAAGTCAGTGCCCCCTGCACGGCTGCTGCTGGGGAAGATGTGCCAGCGCTCTTTCCTGGGGTGCAGGGCCTCCACGTCCTCCAAGGCACTGTGGGCTGCAGCGGTAAAGTTGGCATCACCAGTGGTGAGCAGGTCAAAGACACACGACTGGAAGTAGATGTCCTTCACTGGCATCTTCTCATGGCATTGGGTGCTGGCGGTCTCCAGTGTGTAGCCAGGCCAGGCCTGTGCTGAGGTGGTGTGCGGCAGGCTGTGCCCCAGGATGGCGGACACCTGGCCTTGTCCGTCATCAATGCATTCACTGGTGGGGCAGCCGTTCACACACAGCTGCAGGTCCTGGCTCTCCTCATAGGACATGGCCAAGTCTTCGGGCATCCGGATGGCAAGGGTTAGGTAGCGACCCAGCTGCCGTACAAACACTGTGGTGCCTATGTAGCGGGCATGCATCTCTACGTAACGGCCACTCTCCTTCTCCACGATGTGAAGACTCTTGATGTCGCCATCCCCGCCACTGGTGGTGCCGTCCACAAAGGCCGCTGGCAGGTCATCTGTCACAGCTTGGTACACCTTCTGATCCGTACACTCGTGGTGTGCTTTGAAGATGATAGTAATCTGTGGAGTGGAGGACGGACAGGTTAACACGCTGGGGGCTCAACAGTGCACCCCACAGGAGCAGGGAACTCTCCCAAACGCGGAGCACCCCTGTTGGGAAACCGTCCGCTTTTCTTGATAATTTTTATTTATCTCCCATACCAGGCATAGAATAGCTGGGGTGGGGGCTAGGGGTTTCTTTTTAAGCTATACAGAAGTTCCGAGGGACTTCATTACTGATATATCTAAGTCTCACCTCTAAAGAGATCCTTCACTGAACCATCTCCATGGTGAGTTCCCAGGACAACCATTACAACTGAATATAAGCACTGAGAGATGAAACAGGCTTTGGGTGGGGGGCACCTGCAACAGCTGCCAATCATGCGCCTCAGGAGAGATTTCTTTTAAGTCTCTTAATCAAATGCTTTGCATCACTGGTTAATCCCTGCGACAGGGAATTACTGGCAAGCAAAGCTCTCAAGCACTTGCAGATAACACGCCCCAAACCTAGTAATGAAGATGTTTTCCCAACCAGCGCCAGGGGCCTCTGACTCCACATCTTTTCTCAGTCAGCTCTCAATTTTCCAAAGGAAGCAAAAAGTTCAGGGAGAAAAAAAAATGCACTGATAATACAAAACCTTCCTTCTATTGGGCCATTTCCTTCCCTGCAGAATCCTTCCTCTATAACAGCTATAAACACAACTGAAGAAGTGAGCCTGCTCCCGTTTTCTGCAGTGGACATGTGACGAGAGAGGGAACTAGGAAGGGGATGAGGGTCTCTAGCCCAAAGAAGGAGCAGTTCCCCAGAGCCATCTGAGGGAGCAGCTGAGATCTGGCTTATTGTCTGTCACTAATGCGGTAACAGTTTATTTTATTTTTTTTTTCAAATGAAAAAACAGAATAAAGGGTTGGGTGATTTGGGTCCAGAGGGCAGACGGACAAGCCGCACGCTCCATAAGTTACTCTGATGGCAAGCACCTCTAAGCTCCTGCAAAAGAACTAGTCAAAACAATGGACTCTTGTTAAAAAGCCAGGAATGGCCCCCAAACCTCACTACCACCCTCAAACTTATGTCTGAAGTTTTCCCCAACCCAGCCAGCATTTGCTCACACTGTTTAATTCCACACGTTCCCACTGGTGTTAACTTGACTGGAATTTTCCAGCCATTTCATTTTACTTCAGCCAGTTACAAAGGCAGAGCTGAGCCAGCGGCACTGCAGCGAGCGACTGGTTAAGTTCATATCCGCTGTTTGCAGCTGCAGCTGCAAGCCAGACAAAGTGCTGTGAAAACCCCGGGCCACAATTTGATTTCACTACCAGCCCTTCTCACATTTCAACACCTTCTTAACAACCCAGAGAAGGTGACCAGAGAGAGATGACTTCAGGAGAACCAGGGAACCTTCCACTGTGAGGGGTTCTGAGGTGGGTGGGTATCTAAAGGAGACCATAAAACAGATTTATTTGGTGGCTCTAAAGTCAGTTTGACAAGTTCCCTTTTAAGACAGGATGGGATTGCTAGGAGGTGAAGAGATTAATTCAAGTAAATCTTGCACCTGAAAACACGGGAGAAAGGTTAGAAAATACTGAGGGCTAACAATGCAGATGGCTAAAATAAGTGGAACACTTTTTACAGTTGTGATCCTTGTTCTCAACCAAAACACATTCAAAAACAGAAGATTTAACAACCCAGTCATGTGTCTTTCTGGTCTAACGAACTTTAAGTTTAACCAACTTGGTATTGCATGCAAGAACTGTGACCATTTTGTTCGCAGTAGGAAGAGCAAAAAGGATTCACTTTTGCTTGGGCAACAGAGATGCACAACTGCAAACAAGTTGCCAAAAAAGACACACGGGGATCAATGTTAAGATGAGTGAAATAGTTTCACGTTTAATCTTTTTTTTTTTTTTTTTTTTTTTTTTTTTTTTTTTTTTTTTTTTTTTTTTTTTTTTTTTTTTTTTTTTTTTTTTTTGTCATTGTGCACAGCAATTCCAGTCCTGCAATGCAGAACTCACTAACACCTTACACACTCTGCTATGCAGGACTCACTAACACCTTACACACTCTGCTATGCAGGACTCACTGTAACACCCTACACACTCTGCAATGCAGAACTCACTAACACCTTACACACTGCTGTGCAGGACTCACTGTAACACCTTACACACTCTGCAATGCAGGACTTACTTACACAAACACCTTACACACTGTGCTATGCAGACACATGGGAAACTGGTGTTTTCTACCTGTTAAATATTCTCCTCTACTTTACAGATTTTTGCTTACTCATTGTTTGAAGTTGACTTCCTCTCTGATAAACTGTAATATTTCTTTCTTGGGGATGTGTGTAGAACTATCTGTTGAATCCACATGCAGAGGGGGATGAGTGATGTGGGAGTGTCATATCAATCTGTTGATTTCATTGGCTGAGCAATAAAGAAACTGCTGGCCCTGATAGGTTAATAGATGGGAGGAGGAAACAGAATAGGATGCTGGGCGGAAGAGGAAGTGAGGTCAGACTGCTCAGCGCCATGCTCAGCTCTCCCGGGCAGATGCACGCAATGAAGCTCCTCCGAGTAGGCTAGAATCTTCCAGGTAAGCGCACCTTGGGGTGCTTACACACATTATTAGAAATGGGTTAGAACAATATGTAAGAGCTAGCCAATAAGAATCTGGAACTAGCCGGGCCAAGCAGTTCTTAAATGAATACAGTTTGTGTGTTGTTATTTCGGGCATGAGCTAGCCAAGCGGCTGGGGTGTTGGGGACGCAGCCCCGCTGCTCCTATTTCAACAGATGAGACAATCTCAAAGCACGAGAAAGGGTTCCTGAGAGGGCCTCTGTATGTAAGTGTACAGAGCAGGGACCTAGATGTAGAGAAACTCTGGGTAACAGTTGCACACGACTCGAGTTTTGAAGTGCAATGTCCTCAGGACGACTGCAACACAAGCTCTCGACAAGCGAGCACTCGGCCGTGAGCAGCATGAACTCCGTTCCAGATATCTACCTTTCCAGAAAAGCAAACTCATGCGTCCATAGTAATAATTCATACTTCAGAAATATACAAAAATTCATTGGAATGTTTTACAAATTCCAAACTTTAAAAATTTCCATTTAGCAGCCATCAAGGGCCTAAAATGGGCATTTACGTTTGTACAGAGGTTTTCACTACGCTGTAAAACACCGGCTGTGCTGTTTGCTTCCCCTCCACTAACTGATCCACACACAGTAATAACTCAATTTGGCACATCTGTTCAATGCCACACCATTTATTATTGATGGGTGGCATTTCTGTGCATTTAAAACATCAATGCCTTTTGTTAAACCTCCCCCATCTAGTCTCTCTCAATCCCACCTTAGACAAACTACTCCAACTCTCCTCATTCATTTTTAATCTCACTCCTGAGATCTTCACCACCCACAGGTCTATGAGGAAGAGAAAGCCGTTACGACAGATCAACCTTTGCACATATGAACGGCAACAAGACCTTAAGGTTTGTTTTAAAATTAAGAGCAGTGTTTCTCAACCTTCCCAACGCTGAAACCCTTTAGTAAATTATAGTTCCGCTTGTCGTGGTGACCCCCAGCCATAAAATTATTGTTGCTACTTCATAACTGTAATTTTGTTACTGTTATGAATCATAACATAAATATCTGTGTTTTCCATGGTCTTAGCAACCCCTGCAAAAGGGTCATTTGAACACTGAAGGGGTCGTGACCCACCAGCTGAGAACCACCATTGATTCAGAGGCACTTCACTTGCCTCTCCTTCCCACCAGCAAGAAAAGGAAATAAACAAAATTGAACAAGTCCACGAGGAAAACGCAGGCCCTGCCTCACCAGGATAACTTCCCAAGGCACAACAGCCTGTGAACACCACACATGGGTTTTAGAACCCAACCCTCCAAAGGCTTTGCAGTCGGCTCTCCGTGTACACCCACACCGTAGCTCTGTATATACTCTGGAACGTTTACCAGTGTCCAGTCAGAGCACTTAGCACTGCAAGTGCAAAGAACTTTCTGGAATGAATCCTCAACAGAACTGGAATTTCAGAGCTAATCATGGGGCTGGAGGAAAACTGAAGCACAGAAATGGGCTTGGAAGGCAACTTGATTTGTATCTGGTTAAAATTCTGCCATGTACAAGAAGTGAAAATAAATGTTACTTCATATAATCAGTTGCTGTGTCGACAATGTCAAGTTGTCTGGGTGTAGTTATGAGGAAAGCACGGTAGACCCTCAAGGACACCACGACTGGGCTCAGAGCCTCTTTCATGTCTGCACATGTAGGTGGGATACAGCCCTGACACTCGGTCCTCCATTCCAACAGCACACGCTTCCCCACACTGACTTTGCCTCCATCCCTAACATACCCAAATTCTACTCTGGAAGGCTGATTTTTCTAGATGTTGAAAAGCCGGCTGAGGAAACTCTGAAACACAGCTTACTTCACCTCCATGGCCACCTGTGGACTGTAGCTGGGGCAGGCCTCCTCCTATATGCAGGCAAAGAGCAAACTGATATCCAGTTACATAACAATGAGGGTAACTCTCCCCCTTTTGCGAAACTGGGAGAAAATTCACACACATTTAGATTAACATTTGTCTGAACAATTTCATGCAAAGCCCAGACATGATTTTATATGTAGCATGCTACACGCTGGGCTGGGGTGTGTGCTGTCACTGACGACTTCCCCCGAAGTGTCGGGGAGGTGATCTGTTAGGAAGCTGTAAACTCAGTAGGCTGGGAAGCAATTGTACAATTACTATTCAGCTCACATAGAATACTATACTCTCAGAAAGTGCGAACTGCAGAAGGGCAAGGTGTGAACTGCTTTTATTGGGCTAGGACAGTAACTCCAGTTACGACAGCACACTTACAAGGTGAGCAGCATATTAAAAATCTTACCCTGGACTCCTTTAGCGTTTAGATGAGACTGAGAAATATACTGCCTTCTAAGCAGTTATCAAGTATGGATGCTTCTCTACCCCCAGTCCTTTTCTACAGAGTTCTGTGTTCAGAGCACTCACAGGATGCAGAGAACTGGAATGGCTCTTCAGTGTTGCCCTAGGTAATGAACACAAGCAAGAACAGGGGCTGTTTTGGCTGCTGCAGGGGTACTTGGCAGCAGAGAGAGAATTAAGAAGCCAAACCAGAGGGGAAGGACACCCACAGCTGAAGGCTGCTAGGGTGGTCCAGAGAAGCTCCAGGCCCAAGGGTGGAAAGGCGCAGAGAATGAAAGCAGTCTGGCCCAGGGATAGCACATGAGGGGAGCAGGCACACAAACGCCAACTTTCAAAAACCAGTTTCTATATAACTAAAGAAAGGAAGGCAGGAAGCATACACAGGCACAGAAGATGGGGAAGCCAGCCAACTTCCTTCTGCACCCCAGTGGGACGCCATGCTGAGCATGAGGTTCCTTCTGCACCCCAGTGGGACGCCATGCTGAGCATGAGGTTCCTTCTGCACCCCAGTGGGACGCCATGCTGAGCATGAGGTTCCTTCTGCACCCCAGTGGAACGCCATGCTGAGCATGAGGTTCCTTCTGCACCCCAGTGGAACGCCATGCTGAGCATGAGGTTCCTTCTGCACCCCAGTGGAACGCCATGCTGAGCATGAGGGGGCAAGCCCTTCGGCCTGTGCACCTCAGCAACTTCCCAAACTTCAAAGTTTCCCTCGGTTCAGGCTCAGACTTTGTGCTGTGAAGAGGCCAGTATCACCAAGCTTTCAGATGAGAAGGTGAACCACTGTTGTTTGCAGACTGATGAAGAGGAAACCATGGCCTCCCTGGCTACGTCTCAGCATTAGGAAGGGGAGAGAAAGCTTCAACTTCTTCACAATACACACAGACCTTGCCAGCTCTAGATTCAATTTCAAGTTCCCAAAGATATAAAAAAGAAAAGGATCGAGATGGTTAGAATTGGCGACCCTGTGTTTTAAAAACCAGTAACTGGCCAAAAATATCCTTTTGCCTGGGCAGGAAAAGGGGAAAATGTTAGTACCTGCCAAGTGTCTATAGGTTCAGATTGAACCCTGAATCAGGAGATAAGAAATTTATGTTTAAATGTTGTGGTACCCATTCCATCCACAGTGCAGATACTGCGTGCTAACATGAGGAAAGCCTCCCAGACTAGAATTAGCTGAACCACCCTCCTCCTCCCCCCAGCCCAAGTATTGACATGATCAGCTAAGTGGAGCAGAAAGAGCTCCATTCTCTAGCAAGCGGGTTTCACTTGAGTTCTCCTATCTAGGATCCGACAGTATCGTAGGTTCACTTCAAGGCTGTCTAGTTAAAATAAAATCCAGCTTAGGTGTGTTAGTTCTTGTCCCTCACCACTCAGGGACAGGCTGGGCATTTTGTTAAGTTACCCCACCCACGAGAACACAGAATCCAAACACTGGAAGAGCAAGTTTTACTGCAGTCAAAACAAATAAAGACAAAATGGGAAAGGGAGCATTTTTCATTGTTGTGCACTGTAGGTAATTCTCTCAGGCCACATTCCACAGAGGCAGAAAGTGTTTGGCTAGCGTTAATTGAAGCTGCCAACAACAACAACAAGAGCCCCAACCACCCAACATTTCCTTCTCACCACTGCCCCTCAAAATAAAACTGAAGAGGGGAAAGAGAGAGAGAGAGAGAGAGAGAGAGAGAGAGAGAGAGAGAGAGTTGGAAACATGACAAGAAACAAGTTCTGACTCTCAGCTGTGTCTCTGACTCTTGGCTTCCTGCCGCTTGCTGCCTTAAACTATGGAGGAGAGTGGATTTGTTTTGAAGCAGCGGAGGCCTACACCACCCAAGGAATCCTGCCCTGCGTGGACAAGCCTCGGGTTAATTTCACTTACCAAGGGGGATTTTTGAAAGGCCTCCTCCTTCCAAGGACATCTGGGACTCAGGGAGTTGGCAGTGTCAGGAAGATTAGAAGATGGTAAAGAATTTTTTACCCAGGGTGTTTTAACACATGTGGGAAAAAACAAAGGGATTCTGTATTTGAAAAGCAGGCATGAAGAATAACCGAGGAGCCCGTCCATGTTACAGAATGCTCCTTCACAGTGTGGATCGATCACCAGGGAAGACCCCCCTTTCCCCCTCTCCCTCAACACAGCCTGGAAATCTTTACCTCCAGGCAATTTACTGAAACTACCGTACAGCAGTTCCTGGGCCTAACACTTTATAATCCAGTACAAACAACAGCCTTACAGGAAATTGAAACAGACAACACACCCAGTCCCACCCAGAAGCACAGCAGTGTTTTGTAAAACCCAGTCTCTAACATTTCTGTACTATTTCTGAAATAAATTCAGGAATGACCAAAATGTGTAACACACGACTTAACAAGGGTTTTAAAAATGGGATGGGACCCTGAAAAATAAATTAAGACTGTGGTTGTGGAAATACAGATGCAGGCGAGGGGCACACTGACTGCGGGAGGTGGGAAGTCAAATCCTGGAGCAAGCAAGGCTGGAGGAACAAGCCTTGGGTGAGGGAGCCTCTGACAGGCTTCCAGGGCAGCTGTCCTCTCTGTATGGCTTCCTGACACCGGTCTCATCCTGCTAACTAATGTCTCTGGGAATCAATGCATTTTACCAAGAAGCTCTGAAGATGCACGGAAATCCCACGCTTTCCCACCACTGGACTACCAGGTAGTAGCTAGGTGCAGAGGCTACATTCATCCCAACAACTCCGACATGTCGTTTTTTTTTTTTTTTTAATGTAGCAGCACCAAATTGATGACATTTAATCAGAATTATTATACCAAGGGAGCTACAACTATAAACTTCTTTCCTATCTGTTCCTAGTATGACCCAATACCGACCAGTCTTAGAACTCTGTAGCATCTTTGTAGGCAAGAAGGATCACAAGGCTCAAATCTCAAAGAAATGGTTGGAACTATATATATGTATCTCCCAATGAAAGCAAATCTCAGAATAAGGATTAGATGCTTTTCTAGACAACATGTCCCACGCCACCACATGCAGGAAAAGGGTCCACACATCCAAACACAATTCACCCAAAGGGAAGGAAGAAAACCTTCATTGATAAAAATAAAAGATCACTACTGTATAGCTTACAGGCACCCAGCTGCTAAAACAAAGCGCTGTAAAAACTTGTCTGTAAGAAAAAAATGTACTAGGCATGAGGTCAAGAGAGGACAGATTTCCAAACCTCACTGCAGAGGTGCACCTAGAAACTCTGCGATGTAGACATGTCTGGCTTCAATTCTTATTTATTTATTTATTTATTTATTTATTTATTTATTTATTTATTTAGAGACAGGGTTTCTCTGGAGTTTTGAAGCCTGTCCTGGAACTCACTCTGTAGGCCAGGCTAGCTTGGAACTCCACCTGCCTCTGCCTCCCGAGTGCTGGGTTAAAATTAAAGGCCTGCGTGCGTCACCACCACCCAGCATGCTCCAATTCTATAAGCAACAGATAATGACCAGAGTGGATTACATGTTCACTGTTGCTGCACAGTGTCTGAGGGCCATCAGAAAAAAGTGACAAGGACTGGTTGATTTTATCAAAATACACAGCTCAAGGAAGACATTAACCAAAAGAAAGACAACCAAGCCTTCTCCAGCTTTGGTGGAGCCTCTCAGGAACTCTAAGAAAGCAGTTACAGAATTTGAAATTTAGAGATATTATGGATTATAAGATGATATACAAAAATAACCCCGAGGGGCTAGACATCCTATTACACTCTGGGGAGGTCTGGGTGCTGCCCACAGGGTAGCAGGAGCTGGCAGCCACTATCACCTCACCATACAAGCCATCTGGTTCAAGGAGGGGGACCAGGATGTGTGATTTCCAATTTTCCCTACTTCTATTTTGTTTTCATGCTAGTTAAGTATTGTATAGGAAAGCCAAAGCAATAAGAAAAAAAAAGCACGATTTTACATAAAAATTAAAGGGAACACAAAGCAAGAGGGTACTTGTAAAAATCATGATTAAAAACGCAGCCATTGTTTTTAAACTGAAAGCATTTTGAAAAATTAGTGAGAATGTACTTGAGACTGACTGACTTTTCATTTTTTCAAATTACATTTTATCTATGCACTGTGTGTTGGTATGTGTGGGATCAAAGAACAATCCGTAGAGCCGATTCTCCCTCACCGCGTGAGTTCCAGGAACTAACCCAGGTGGTAAGGCCTGGCTTCCGTGTTCCACCAGCTAGCTGGAGACTAATGTTTTAAAAACTCTACTTTCAATCTCATTGTTTTGTGGGTCTGAGGCAGTAACTCAGTTACTTTACTCGTGTTAGGCAAGCCTTCCACTAATCCATACTACGGTCTCAGCGACTTTAATGCATGCTACCAGGAACACGTCAAGGGAAAGGATCAACACTTTACTCTTTAGCCACCTTTTGTGACCATGCATTTAAACATCCTCGCTAACGACCTTTCTTTAAAAACAGAGACACAGCCCATTAAATGCATGGGCTGAGTCTGAAAGTGCCAAAGGACATGTGGAAGCAGAAGCACAAGCAGCCATCCTCACAGACAGGTAACCTGGGTTCTTTGGCGCCTGTGAGGTACAGGATACCATTGCAACATGAGTCTCTGGCGCGGACAGGGTGTGACTGCCTCCTCCACGGTAGGAAAGCTGCCTTTGTGCACTGTGCCCTAACGCTGCCAGCTCTAATGTAGTGTGCCCTCATTTCACTTTCGCAGTGTCTGCATGCCTGCATCTGCCTCTCGCAGCCAAAGCTGGGGAAGATTGCATCTGAGATGAGGTGAGGTGTGTAGGTGTGCCAGAAACTCTTGCGGCCCCAGGGGAGAGATGAAAAACTTGCCCTGGCTTCTCACCTTCAGTAACACATCTACCTGGCAAGCTGGCCTTCCAGTACAGACTCTTCCAGAGAGGAAGAGATTGGCTGGCGAAGGGTCTGAGCAAAAACATGGAGGCCCCAAGAAAGCATACCTGTGCACACCATGACCATGTAGAAAAACAAGTCCTTCTTTCCCATGTGAAGGGGAGAGCCCGTGTGTGGAGAGGACAGTGGAAAAGGAGATAAATCACACTCCAGGCCCATCTGTCCTAACTCACTCACTGCTTACACGTGGAAAAGAAGTTCAGTTAATAAATGCCCCTTGAGTCCAGTGACTTCATCTTATTTTACTCTGTCTAGGTATCCTTTGGTGACAGGCAGGAAGTACTTTTGGAATGGAGGCCTCACTAAGTAAAGCTCTCAGGAGCCTGGCTCAGGCTCCTAGGACCCAGCTCTCTTAGTGACCTGAGTAAAAGACCCAGAACCCTGCATTTCTCTTCAGGAGTGAGGGCCGTGAAATGCGCGGGTGTTTCTGTATCACAGCTGGCCTTCCACATGAGTCAGTGTTCACACACAGTGACGCAGCACACAGGTCTTTAGAACCGCTTGACCACGCGAGCAAGTTTCGCTATCGGCAATGTACAATGCTGGGGTACTTGAGGTTGGCCCAGGTATTTCCAGAAATTCTCAGTAAGAAAGTGAAGTATGCCTCCAAAAGACTAGACGGATTCCTAATAGGAAAGCATGTGGGACCTAGGGAGGGAGTAGGTCGCCTCCCCAGACAGACGCCTCGTCCCTAGTCTCCCCTCTTACACTCTCTTGTCTTTGCCTCTTTCTGGCCAGCCCTGGGTAAGTAGCCTCTCTGACGTGCTCCCACCTCCTGGTCTCCTGTCTTGCTCCAGGCTCAAAGCAATGAACCCTGTCAAGCTAGGACTGAAACCCAAATAACCCTTCCCTCCTTTCAACTGCTTCTGCTCAGGTATTTGTCACAGAGATAAAAATGTGAGGTGGCTGATTAACGTCTGGTGAGATGCACACGGAGAAAACCTTTCCAAAAGTTTTTTCTTCTTTTGTGTAACAGTCCTAGCTGTCCCTGAATTCAGAGACCAGCCTGCCTCTACCCCAGAGTGCTTGGACTAAAGGTGTGTCCACCATACCCATCAACTGTTTTGATTTTTAATCACTACCTTTTCTTTAATGCTTTAAGTCCTTAAAAGTAAGATTCTGTAGCCATGTTAGGCCTTTGCGGATTTCAGCAACACATATCCTACAGGTCTTGAGACAGGCCATCAAAAACAGCCTGGATACCCTGGAAACACACGGAGGAAATAAAGGAGTACAGCAACTGCTGGGAGCGTAGGACCACAGAGGAACTTGCTGAGTGGCGTGGCCAGTAGGTGAGGCAAAACACAAATGTGCAGTTGAGACACCACACATGCCTGCTGTCCTCTTGAATTCTTCTCTGAGGACCACTTTTCCCTCCATTTTGAAAGAACAAAACCTTTGGCTCTTACCAGATAGAGAAAACACACCTGTGTTCTCTTTTTAACTAACTTTCTAATCTTAAGTGTGCTGTAAATTGTTCCATATATGTAATTACATATAGTATATATTACTATATATCTATTTAAAATGGTGTATATACTATAATACTTTAATTTGACCAAGAGTCTTCCAAATCCTCAACTCTCTGAACAATGGATAACTTTCCCATTCCCAATGTAATGGCTCATCGAATCCTCATGGAATCTTCAGTTATCCCAAGTTTGAGGTGTCTGATGACTGTTGTAATCCTGAATTTTTGGCAATGGTCTACCCTAAAACCTCACAATCATCTATCTTAATACACACACACACACACACACACACACACACACACACACACACACACACACACACTAAAGTGCCTTTAGAACCCAGAAGGGGGCATCAGATCAAGGAACCGGAGTCACAGATGGTTGAGCAGCCAGGCTGGTGCTGGTACCCGAACCCAGGGCCTCTACAGGAGCAGTAGGTGCTGTTGAACTGCTGAGCCCTCTCACAGGCCATAAATATGTATCTTTATAACCTAACTTTTACCAAATGCACGCTATGAGATCTACATAAGAAAAGTTATTTATAAACACCTAAGAACCGGGGAAAGAAAAGTTTATTCCAAGATGTAGAATTTGCCGAGGCAAAAGGCAAGCCTGAGATTTTACTGGGTTGAAGTAAAAACATTTCGGAGATCCCCTAAAACGTCTGCTTCAGTGTAACAGTCTTCTTTGTTCAAGAGCAATGGCTTCTATTTTTAGATTTGTGACACTCCTGGGTGTCTCCAGATATCTCCCGAGGTGTTGTAAAGTTCCCTTCACAAAATGCCAAGTAAAATAATTTAACCTCACTAAAAATACGCTCCACATTTGGAGGCAAGGGAGGGAACCAAATGAGCAGGCACAGGACTTCAAAGCCTGATTCTTGTCAATTATATTTAGTCTATGACAGTGAAGGAACAGATTAATAAATACAGGAAATTAAAACAAGATGAGACTGTGGGTTTGTGGCTGGGGAAGAAGGAAAAGGGGCAGTTTAGCTGGGACACCAGGGGAAACTCCTTTATTTACTAAGTTAAGTTACTTAGCAATGACTGGTAGTTGGAAACCCGCACTCTCCTATCTTGTACTAAACACGGGTGCCTGCCTTACGGTTGGCATCCAAGGTCTCTACATACGATCGGTTTCTTCAAAATAAACAAACATGGAGCACAGACACTGGACCTGGGTAAGAATACCTTAGTTTTGCCAGCCTCCCTCTTAGCTTCTGGCTCAGACTGTTAACACGAGGGTGTGAGATTACACAGGTGTTATACCGTACTGCCCGCAATAGCCAATGCCTAACTTCCTTGGTTACCAAAAGGTTACTAACTAAAGCACCACTGTGGGTTTGCCACTGGGAAGTTTGGCTTGCAGCCATTACATTTACTATAGATTCTAAATCTCCAATAAAGTACGTTTGTTTCCCGATGGGCCGCTGCCCTGGGCTTCACAGCTTTCTTTATAGAACACCCACTTCACTTATGTGATTAATCTGACCGTGGATCTCTCCAAGAAGAGCCACACACTCGAGCACTCACAACACAGCACCAGAGAAGGCACACATTTTCCTCACTAAATAGGCCTGCCGTTTCTCGCTGGAGAACTTGATTTCACTGTTTACGTTTTATTCTTCATATCGTTGCCTATTTAAGTTTAGACCCACATTTTGTATGCCAGAAAAATTATTAAATAATCTCAAACTTTTACCAACCCTGTTAATAACTTCCCAAGAAGATATACAAATGGTCCCTCTAAACAAGCCTGTATAACGTACTCCACAAGCTGTCTGAAGGACCAAACATGAAAGGGGGGGGGCGTGTAGAAAGGGGAACCAAGGAGCATACTTGCCTTGTTGGTGGCAGTGGCACTGGATCCGGGGACCACAGGCACATTCGTCACTTGAACCGAAAGGTAATTGTTGTCTATGAGGGGCCAGGCCCCTTCCACTTTGCATGTCTGGAAGTGGTCCTTGAAAGTTCTGAGGTGAGGGTCTCCAAACAAGCCGCAGAAAAGGTAATTGGGAGGGCTCTGGTCCCCTCCCCGGTGTTCTCTGACTCCTCCCTGGCTGTGGTAGTTACAAGGGTCATGGGTCACTTCCGGGTTGGTAGAGGATGTGGGCCCATCCTTGGAACAGTTCCGCTGGCTCATGAGGTCGCTGATACCTAACACAGCAGAGTGGTACACCAGGTTGCCGCGGCAGGCTTTTGAGGTTCGCTGGGTGCAGCCGGCATAGGCGCGGAGGGCCTTGCAAAACTCGGAGTCAAAGCCATCGGCGGCAGAGTTCAGGTGTGAAGTGAGGGACACGAAATCCGTGGTACATTTCTGGATTCGACACTGAGCTGGCTGCTGGCAGTCACCTGCGGGAAAGAAGACCAAGCATGTAAAAGCTTCTTCACTTCCGGGTATCATGAGAAGATGCTATTCTCCCCTGGGAACTGTCTAGTCTACCTCAGACTTCTTTTTAAGGTTGTACTGAGTTACCAATGTCTCTCAAATTAAGCCACCGGGAGAAAAACTGGATATGGTTAACTGAAAACTTTAAAGCTTGGGGTCTGGCGGCTGAGCATGAGTCCAGTCTAGGAATGTCTCTAGGTTAGAACTGCAAATGAAATATTGTTTCTTGTTTGCTATTTATTTATAGATTTTTTGACCAAGATTCCTCTGTTTTGATTTTTAAAGCTGTATGAGTAATTTGCTTTGGGAAGCACCGGGAGAGATACTTATGCACATAGCTATGATTAAAGCTTATACAACAGAAGAAGGGCTAAAATTCTAAATTATAGTATGTTTAAAGTATCTCTACCTGATTCTCGTATAGCTACAGGGTATGAAAATCAACGGAAAAAAAACCCCAAGTAGTAAGTCATTCTCTTTCCTGAGGTACATTACGAACAAACTGCATGCAGTCTCAACGCCCTAGCTTCTGTAAAACGTTAAGTACTCGGCTACAAGAAGTGATTCACTTGACCAAGATCCAATTTTACTTCTCTTAACACGTCTGTCACACAGATCTCAAGCAAACCACAAAGCACACAAACACAACAAACTAAAAGAGTATGCAACACAAATACATTTCAAAACATGAATCAGAGACCTAAAGTCAAGAATTCCTAGTGTGTGTGTGAATACACACACACACACCTACCTCACTTTCCCTCTTAAGTTGAAGAAAAAGCTGAAGTGAAAACACAAGGATGAATGTCCTGTGTTAACGAAACTTCCAAATCACTTTGTCACTTGTCTCTCATAACAATTCACGAAACCCCTCAAGCACAAGACAAAGGGACAAAACAACGCTGTCAGTCATGTGTGCCCACCGATTTCATAGCGTATCAAAAAGCGAGACTAGATTTACTGAAACATGGCTCGTGTATCTCAAGTTGAATAAGATGAACTGTAGCATACACTTGAAATTCCTTATAGGTGCTTGACCTACGGAAGAAGTCTTACTGGATCTCACTTCTTAGCAGCTTCCTCTTCTGAAAAACGAGGAAGTTGTTATAGCAGCTTTGTGGTTTTTCTTCAGGCATAAAATATCACACATTGTGTATTCTAGAGGGGGAGAAGCATGGACATCACTGGACCATTCATTGATTTTTGGCTAGTTTTTGTGTGTGTTTGTTATATTATGGGTATGAGGGTTCTGTCTGCAGGCATGTCTGTGCACATGCATGCCTGGTGCCCTCAGAGGCCAGATGATGGTGTTGGATCTCCTGGAACTAGAGTTACAGATGACTGAGCCATTATGTAGGTGCTGGGAATCAAACTGGGATCTCCTGGAAGAGCAGACAGTGCTCTTAACTGATGAGCCATCTCTCTAGGTCCTACTTTTTTTCCCCCTGAGACAAGGTAGGTCTCATTGACCTGTAGCCCAGGCTAACCTTGAACTTGCATCCTTATGCATCAGCTTCCAGAATGTTGGACTGCAGGTGTATGCCACCATGGCTAATTAAAATCAGTGGGTTATTTTAAAATATATAACTATTTCAATATGCGGATACAGTAAACTTAGGGATATCGACACCTAAAACTCCATCTGATAAAAGACATCATGTAGTAATCCCTATATTGATTTAGAAAGGTGATTCAGAATAATATTTTTAAATTTTAATGAAATGGTAAACTGTTTCTGGCTTTAGTTGGGAGGAAGTGTGGGAGATAGCAATCTGACATCTTTGCGAGATTCCAAAGACCTGGAGAAGAAAAAGGATCAGCTGAATCTTCATTTTCACTTTTACCAGAATAAAGGAGATTAAAATTATTTTACTATTTTGGAGCCATGGACTTATAGCAACCACCAGACCACTTCATTTAAGACTTGTTCAGTGCAACGCTAACCAAGGAAGCTCAATTTATAAGACTCCTTTCTCCCAAGCAGATTTATTTACTTTCAACTACTTTTACTGAACAAGACAAATCAACAACAATAATCAAGCAAATTCACTCTCCCAGAAGCCTTCAAGCCATTTTCAAGGGAAGGTGTACTCAAGGCCTTGCTTTGTCCTGGTGGGATTGCACAACTAGCTAGCGCTAGTTAAGGCCATTCTCTTCAATTCCTGAGTAGCGCAGTAATCACTGAAAGCTGGGAATAAAAAACCCCAAAACAACAATGGGGTGACAATTATACCACTATTCTTCTAAAATCAGATGCACAGCAAGCACAAAACAAGAAGTAAGAGCAGGGTCAAGATCACTCAGTAACGAACACCTACCTCTTGGACTACAAATAATGAACGTACTAGAACTTTCCGCTAAACTTGTGGGGCCTATTTGTTCTTTTTATGGTCTATAAAATCTATCCGAGCATACAGTTACTTATAATTATTTCAAACAGCCATAAAATATCAAAAGTAAGAACAGCACGGAGATGCACCATGCGAGCGTGAGCGTGGAAGGGGGAGAAGATGCAGCATTTATTCCCAGTGGGGTCTTTGCCCAGCCCCTGACTCTTCAGGGCTCCCCTTTTAGTGGCAGGCAGGCGCTGACTGCTCTTTTGCTTTGGATTAGGGTCCTAACAACCCGTGGCTGTAGATATGATCAGCGGGAGGGAGATGCTCTGAGGTTAGCATTCTCAGCTCCATTGCAGGCTCCCGTAGAATGACTAATTTGCAGCATACACCCAGAAATACCGAGGCTTCATGAATTAATAATGACAGAGCACACTTTGCCTGTGAGAAGCCGTAAAGTGAGCCTCTTGTCAAAATGCCAAGACAAAGCAGAACAGCAACACACTCCAGGATGTGGCCAAGGAGGCCTTGAAGTGTGTGAGTAAGCAAGAATTCCCTTACTGGATATCCACTCAGGAACTGCAAACGTCTTAAAACACGATAAAATAAAACACAAATGAGAGTAAACAAATGCCATTTCCCAAGGGCAGAATTCAAAAGGTGCACTTAACAATGAAAAATTTTCTACTTTGGGGTCAGATCACCTACAACTGGTGTGACGTGTATTTCCGTGCCAGTTACTGTAAGTGCTCAAGGGTTCGTGGTCTAAAGCTTTCACCATTTTTTAATGAATCGGACATAAAAGACTCACCACGCAAGACAGCTTCCTTCACGCCAGGGCTGTGAATCTGCAGCCCAGCCACTAGTTTATAATAAAGGAAATGAGATATGAAACCGAATCGAGCAAATTATAGAGCCATATGGGGCACCAAGGCAAACGATATGGGCCCAGACATAAAGCATATGGCGGTCCATCTGCGGGCAGCACTTGCTAGGCTCCCTGGTCTGGAAAAGAACCCCAGCTTTTCAACAGCACCCGTCTTCAAAGAGATCTCTTCACAGAAACGAGAGCCGTGCAAGCCCTTTGGGTTCAAGCTAAGTGTGAGCATACACTGAGATTCTGAAAGGGACCTCGTGTTCCAAACTCCAGTTTCTTATGCTTATACAGGCCAGGAAGGAAATCTCCGGGAACTACTCTCCAATCCTGTCATGGCCCTAGAGCAACCATTCCCAAGCTGCCAAAGAGAACTGAGCTCAACATAGCATTTCAACTTCCCTTTCACGATTTGACACACAATGCATAGATATTCCCCCCCCCCCAACACTCCTGAATACTGGCACATTAGCAAAAAGTTTCCATGAAACCACATGCAGACATTTTTCTAAGGTTTGAAAGCTACTAATTTAAAGCCTTAATTATCCCACAACTGGCTATTACATTTTTAGTACGACCAGTCCATTTCCCCAAGCGACAGTGTTAAAAAGCAGCCGTTACGCCGCCTCGAAGGGCTGTCTCTTCAATATCATTTTACTCCATTCCATAAAAAGACCTCCCGGCTATTTTAGCACGGTTGGTATGCCTTAACAAGTAAAAAGTTCTCAGTACAGCTGAGAGACATTAAACTAGAACTCTCCTGATCACAGCGCGTGTCATCATAAACACAGAGGGAAATCTATCCAATGCTCTGGTTTTCAAGCACAAGGACAATGATTCTTTTGATTTTTTTTGTATTAGAGGGAAAGTCTAAAAAAGAAATTGTACTTATTTGTTAAGAAAACAAAAACAGGCATTCCATATCACAAGGTTCAGGTTTATTACCCGAAGAGCACATTCCTCAGTGCTGCGTCGTCGGCAGAGGCCCTGCCGACCTCCGCACTGAAACACACATCTGTCAAGCCCGCTAGGAACCGAAAATACCAGGCTAGCCTCATAGCATCTCTTCAGTCTGCCAAACTCTGTGCCGAGAGCAGCTTTGGCAAAACAGAAAGAAATCCCGGATAACTTAAGTTCCTTCGGAATCCACCCCAAACTCGGGTGAAAAAAAAAAATCTTTGCACGGGGTGCGATTCCCAGCCTCGCCACCACCCACAGCAGCAGAGGAGCGCAGCACAAGGCTCTGTTCCCCGCTCGCAAGCGGTTAAGGCAGCGGAAACCCGATCCGCAGCGGACTCCAGTAAACACCCCCGCGGAGAGCAATAAAGCCCCGGAGCGCTGGTCCCGCACGCGGCCCCCACACGCTGGGATCCGCTCAGCGGCGGTCGCTGGCGGGGGCTGGAGGCGGTCGGGCAAGACCCGGCGCCAGGCAGAGCCGTGAAACCGAGCCAGGGAACGCCGTGCTCGCCCCGCCAGGGCCGTGGCGTCCCGGGGACCCAGAACAAAGCCCGCGCGGCCCGTTCCCCACCCGGCCCGCGCCTACCTGCGTGGAGCAGCCCAAGGCTGAGCAGCAGCAGCAGCAGCGGCGGCGGGGGCGACGGCGGCCAGAACCCGGGGCGGCGGCGCTGCTCAGCCCCGGCGGCGGCGGGGGCGGCGGCGCAGGAAGGTGCTGCTCTCACGCCCATGCCCGTCCATGCAGGGCTCGTGCGCTCCGGCGAGGGCGGCGGCGCGGGCGCGGTGGCTGGGCCGGGCCTCTGGCTGCGGCATGGGCCGGGGGGCGCGCCCCGCTTCCTCCTCTTCTTCCTTTCAGGCCAGCGTCCGAGAGCAGCCACGGCCGCCGCAAGGAACCGGGCGTCGCGGGCGGAGGGAGGTGGCCACGGGGCGCGGACACATCGCGGCGGTCGGACGCGGCAGGCAGAGCGGGAGGAAAGATACAAAGACCGTGAGCGAGCGCCGGAAGCAGCGGCGGGCGCGCGGGCGGCCGGGCCCCCGGCTGGCGTGGGCTCGGCGCGCGTGGACCGCCCGGACCTCACCAGCCGTGGCAGCCAGCGGCCCGGAGAGCTCCGCACCCGTGGCCTGCACGGTCAATCAATCTCGGTCTCTCACTCTCGCCCCGCCCCTCCGAGTTTCCACCAATCCGCGCAGGTCCCGCCCCCCGGCCGCGCTCCTCCTCCCTTTCCCATTGGCTGCAAGCGTGCCTCCCGCCCCCGTACCGTCCTTGTGCGTCTCACTCAAGTTCCGCGTCCGCCGCCCGCGGGTGGGGCAGCTTCGTTAGGGCCCAGCCTCCTGCCGCCGGCTTCCTTGGGCTTTTTCTCCTCCACCCCCTTTCCCCTGATCACGGCTTTCTGGTACCCAATAGAAAAGGGCGACAGCGACTTTCGCTTGGCCCGCGTTCCAGGAGAACCGGCCTTTAACCTCTCCTTGAATTAATGAGCTCAGGTTCAGCTTCCTCCTAGGTTTTTTTTTTTTTTTTTTTTTCGTTGTTGGTTTTTAATGACCTCCCCCTTCTCCTCCTCTTCCCGGCCCTGCTGGCTCCAGCCGCTAGCAGGAAGCCAGCACTTTCCCTGAGCTCTGGGTAGCAAGCAGGTCTCCCCCTCCTCCCCTCAGCCAATCACATCTGCTGGACCTCTTAGCAAACTTGTCGGGGTCTCTAGGTAAAACCAGAGTCCAGCCGAGCCGCTTTAGATACTCAAATGACGCCCGAAGTCCGCAGCAGATGGGCGAAATGAGAAGGTACCTGCGATCTCCCGGCGGAATTCGCCGGCAGCTGCGTGAGGCGCTGGTGTTTTGGTTTCTTTGACATCCCCCCCCCCCACACACACACTTCAAAGCTGAGAGCGGGAGTCAGGGATTGGGCAAACTTCAACGTGTTCGGTTACAAGGTAATTAGATTAATGAGAGTGGTGAGTTTTTATGCAGTGCAATTATCGCCATGATTTCTTGTTGCTCAGTGGCTTTTCCACAAATATCAAGTCTATTAAATTAAACCAATGGTAGGTCTGTTTCTACTTGAGTTGTCCTCCAAAACCAAGGGCAAAACCCCCAAACAATCGCCAAGGGTTAGGAAGGGGCTTGTGGAGTTGAGGACAGGCACCAATTTGTTATCAGTTAGTGTGAAGTGGTATCTCCTCTGGAGAATGGCGTCAGGGCTAGGAACCACTTTACCCTCCCCTTGCCTCTGCCATTCCCCAAACGGTTGAGGATTGCCATTTAAAATGCACTTACTGCAATCTAAATTACAGTTTGCAACTTTACCTGCCGCATTACTCAGAATCTCTAATTAGAAATCTCCTATCAACCACAGACACATTAATATTCCGCATGTTACAATGTGCTAATCAATGGACCAGGATAATTGGGGGGCAAGGCTTTAGGTCTCACCATCTCACTCATTAGACACGGTGTGAATTCTTCAAACCACTAGGTCCCTAATGAAAGAGACCTATCTGTTTTTACTATAATTTTTCATTACTTATTACGTGCCCAGATGACTCAAGTGCTAAACACACCTTTCACTACCAAGATATAATCCAAGCCTTATGTCTATCTTTAATATGCTTAATAATAGCTTCAACGTTGCCTGGAGAAATGACTTTTCATGGGGGGGGGCTGGAATATATCTGACAATTTTACCTAATGGTGCATACTAAATGCTATCAGAGCAATTTTTTATCATCTTGCAGTTACTACATATAATCCACGAAATGCAGTTCAGAAAATACTAATAAATGTCTTTGAAAGAGTGAGCACATGATACTCTTCTTAAAAGTCCTTTTAGCTTGGGGCTGGAGAGATGGTTCACTGGTTAAGAGCACTGGCAGCTCTTCCAGTGCCTACTGGCAGCTCACAGCAGCCTGTAACTTTAGCTCCAGGGGATCTAAATTCCCTTCACCCTCATAGCCATCAGACACACACAGGGTGCCTAGACATACATACAGGCAAAACAAAAACAAAAAACATTCTTACACATAAAGAGTTTTTTAAGTCCTTTAAGCTAGCTGGCTAACAGCGAAATGTAGAGTTTTCTTACCCCAATATTTAATTATATCCTACAAAGGTAACTTATGTTACTATCAAACTTCATAAAACCAAAAAGTTAAAGATCAATACATTCAGTTTGGTTTGGGTCTTTCTGCTGATGACTTTCCTCTGAAACACGTGGGACTTTAGATAGTCTTATCAGTAGAGGGCACCCTCGAGTTGCCGAGAATCCTGATTAAAGAAAAAAGCTGTTCAGAGGAAAATAGTCATCCCTAAGGTGTTTTATTGCTCCTCTGTTGTAAAATTTGACAAGCTTAAGACTTGTATGCCTAACAATTCACTTTTTATTACTGCGTAAGTGTTCAGCTGCTAGAGAATATATATGTATATATATTACAATTAATTACAATTAACCCACAAGGTGGTTCCTATTTTATGACATTAGGTCCATCGACACACTCGGGGGAAGTGACTCTGGACTGTTAGCAAGATTTGAAATCAGCTTAGAAATATCAAGGACATGTTGAATGATCATTTATAGGGCAGTCACTTTTCAAGCTTGTGTGCGGCAAGTTTAAGCAGAATTTGCGACTGTGCAAAAAAAAAAAAAAAAACCCAGGGAGGAAGCTAGAACAAAATTTTGATGATTCTAAAAGTTTTACACTTTAATTAGGGGGAACAACCGAGGCGATTGGCAATTCGAGCAACCCAAAAATCCACCCTGTGTCTTACCACTTCAATTCTTTTTCTCTCGTTCCCCCCCCCCCAAGAAGGAATGATGAGACCAGAACTGTACATCCAGAAGACCCAGCCAAGTATACCACGCCATGGACATGCAAACACGTAAAATTAAAAAGGATGCCAGAAACGTTAACAGATTCTAAACACGATGAAGTCTCATTTCCTGGACCTTTACATGGAGTCTTAACTGTTCCCCAGGTACTTTATCTCCATATCCAGAAACCTAACTTGAGGATCTCTGCCTAACAGGACCGAGAAGCCTGCAGTAAGAGATTTGTGCTACCCATTCTGGAAGTAAGGGTTCCCCTGCTGCTCACTGCTCCACAGTGTTTGAAAATCAGGCTGGAATAGCCCAGAGTCCAGGAGCCCAGAGGCGTGCAGCTCCTGGCTGGTACTTACATCATTCTTAACCCTTCCGCACCTGGAAGGGGCTCAGCGAGATCAGGATGCCCCCGAGCTCCGGAACACGCAGGACCTAGGTGTAAGAGAAGAGCCCGAGGGCTCCGTGTAAGCGCTGAGCCCCAGGAGACAGAGACCGCAGAGAGCAGAGCGCAGGAGGTTCATAACCTGCGCTTACAGCCGAGGCCCCTTGATCCCTACAGACTCCAGTGCGGCTCGCCTTTGGCTCGCAGGGCTAGAGAAGCAGCAGGTGCAAAAAGCATTTGGGAGCCGCTTGCCAGTGCTTGGAGGTAATGCGCTTCCTGTCCATTTATCTCAGGAAACCAGCGCTGCCTTCCCTTCGAAACAAAATTAACCTCTCATTAGCCAGCCACTCACTCCCAAGAAGGCCTTAAAAGCTTTACCCTCTCACTAATGTATTTAGGCTTTTCTTCCAGGCAAACGAAGCTGAGGCTGTGACTAACATCAGCCCCAGGGGTTCCTATGGGCTCCCTCAGGAGCCAGCCCACTAGCCCTTCACCAGCCTAATCTGGGAAATTGGCCAACCCAGGATCCCAGTTTGTACAAACAGGATGATCCGACACCCCTGAACGAACTTCACACCAAAAAACCCCAGGACAAATTTTCTCTCTCTTCTTGGGCTCCTTTCACACCAAATCTCAGCTCCATTGCCCTCGAGGAGTGGGAGTGGGAAGCTGGGGAAACTTCAGTGGCCAGCTGTCCCCGGGTCAGGGGCGATGGGGCGACGACTGTCCCTTGGGAAGCGCCCATAGAAGGCTGAGGGTGGGGGGCAGCCTGCATTGACTCTAGTCAGTTCCAGGCAATGCGAATTAAACGTGGTCAGGAGCTTTTGGAACGCCAGGGCTTTCTCACCCTGGGCCCCACCGCCCCGAGCCTGGCAGATTTATACCACACAGGTGGACCGAGACCTAAACAAAACAGTCCCCGCCGCTGCCTGCCGCTCGCCCCCCACGTCCTCCTGGCCCACCGCAAACTTCAACAAAATAAACAACTCACCACAGGCATTCCCTTGTCTGCAGCGCGACGCTTGCCAGCTGGGAAAATAAGCCGCAAGCCACGCGGCCGGGGCGCAGAAGGGAGGCCTCGCCGCGCCCGCCCGCCGCTCTGCCCCAGGTGGGCGGCAGGCGGGCGGCTCCACCCGGGGGCCGCTCTCCAGATGCCGGTTCCGGAGTGAGCTCCGGGGCCAGTGGTGGCACCCTGCTAGCCAGCGGGGCCTCTGCCACCTAGGGGGAGAGGGCGGGGAGACAAGTCCCTGTCCCCCAACTTCCTCGAAACTGCTTTCTTCCCACTCCCGGCCCCTGGGCACCGCCTCAGACCATCTCCACCGCGCTACCCGACTGTCCTGCTGGAGATCCGACGACTGAGCGCGGGACGCCTCTGTCCCCCGACTCCAGGTCTCGGTCAGCTCTCTGCTCTCCCCGGGTCCTACACCCGGGCTTGCACAAAGGCGCCTTTCACGCCGCCAGCGCCGCCCTCTGCGCCGCCCTCCGGGCTCGCAGCGCTGCCTTTACCCACCGCCCGCAGCATCACGGTCCCGGGTGGGGGACTCGGCCAGTTGTCACCCGGACGGGGCAGCGGCAGACGCGTGCGGTGTCCGCACTCGCGCCGCCACGAGGGCAGCAGACACTCGATTTCCTCCTCGGTTTCTATTAGCCGTGCACCAGCGCCTCCAAAGGCACGTCCTTCCCCCAACTATCCTCGAGGGTCTTCCCACTGTGTGTAGCTAAGAAGGGGGTGGCAGGGATGGTCCCCCGGACGTATGCGAGCATAAGAGGGTTATCGTCCTGTCCACATGAGGTACCAGTGTGGCTTGGCATCACGACCAGAGAGAGAAAAGGTAGAAAGGAACCCCTGAGACCCAGATGAGAGCGTCTTTTGTAAAAGAGCCCACTTAGGATGTTTTAGGGTGACAGACCCTTCATCAGAGGAACGAGATGGGGGAGGGGAGACCGAGCTATGTTTTCGAGAGCGGTTCTTGAGTTTCGTAGGTACTCAGCGGTAGCTATTTAGCTCTCTCATTTTAGAACAAGAGTGCTGATATTTTTTTTTCTTTTTTTTCAGTTAAAACAAAATTTCAAGTAGTTGAACTCAGGTAGTTAACCAGGACCTTACCCCTCCCCAGCCCACCGCCTTCTCGCCTTTACCCTTTACCTGCAGTTTCCCCATCCAACGGTAGAGGCAGCATAGGGTAGTGTAAAAAGGGCGGGACTTCAGCGGGTTTAACATCCCAACCTGGATTCCTGTCCAGAAAAACGAGGAAGGCTGAGGACTCAACTCCTCCAGGTTCAGAAATTACATGGCAATTGGTCTCTCATTGCATCCTTTGCCTGTATTTTTTTCATCTTCCATGATCTTCTCTAAATGGCAATGAAACTGGAAAACAACAAACAAAACAAAGCCCTGAGACCATTTAAGGTGGCGGTTCTCAAGCTTCCCAATGCTGCGACCTTTTAATACAGTTCCTCATGTTGTGTTGACCCCCCCCAACCATAAAATTATTTCCGTTGCTACTTCATAAGTGTAATTTTGCTACTGTTATGAACCATAATGTAAGTATCTGTGTTTTCTGATGGTCTTAGGTCACCCCTGCAAAAGGGTCCTTTGCCCCTGAGGGGTCTTGGCTCACAAGCTGAGAACCACCGATTTAAAGTATCTGTAAAATACACTGAAACCTGCTCTGTTTACTACTGAGAATTACAAAAAGTGATGGTAGTGGTGGTGGGCCCAGTTCGTGGTCTGTAGAAACAAGGAATTTTAGTGTTCCCACTTGTTTTGCCTCTGAAAAGCCATTTGAGCAATCAGCACAGCAGAGCTTTAATTTAGAAACGAAAGGCTGGTTTCCTGTGTTTTTCCTTTCCCTTCTACCAACACAAAGACAAACTGCTACATAGAGTAGTGATGAAAAGAGTTCAAAGGAAATCCAGGAGGCCAGCACAGGAGACTTGACTGCAGCTCCAGTCCTTCAATCCCCCACATGCTACCTTTGATTGCACGGATTTACACAAACACAAGCTATCACCATCTCCCCTTGATACACATCAATGCAAACTGGGTGCCTAGTCGTTTTGTGGATTACTCCAGCAGACATTTCTTTCAACCATACACTTAACTTTTCCTTAGTCTCGTGATAGTTTTCACCAACTTTTGGAACGCTGAGCTTTAGTTCCCTCTGTGGTCAACTGTGTGTTGCTTCCTTGTAGAATCTTTGAAATTAATGCGGAAAGGACTGACATTTCACTACAACGTGCTATTTTGAGGCTACACTTTTTGTCTCCTGTTTTAACAATAAAACTTAAAACTTTGCCTTTGCCTTTTTTTGATAGCAATACTTACTTTTAAAAGATAGCTATTACAGGGAATTTCTTTTAGTTGTTCAAATTTCTGGGGATGAACCATAACAACCGGATACACATATACATTGTTAAATAATTAAATCAGGATAGTTGACATTTCCATCTTTGGTTACATATTCCGTTATGTAAATATGTGTACATATTTATGGATTAAAGCATGATATTTCAGTACAGGGATGCAACATGTACTGACAAATCAGGGTAGTTAACACTTCCATCTCATCATTACTTTGTGTTTAAGTGCTCCTTTTGTTAGAAAATAACCATTTTTTTGATAATTGTAATGAGAACTGTTGTGAGCTTTTAGAATTCTGTTGCGACTATGTAAAAATTTTAACTTACAGATTGCATCTATTTGCCACAATAACACAGTGCTTTGAAATAGGTATACTCTGTAGAATGCCTAAATCGATATATTCCTGATAGGCTAAGGGAATTTTTTTGGAGAGGGTGAGAGCACTTACCATCTATTCTCAGGGATTTTTAAAAGTTCTTTCGGAGTTGGCCTGGTTTATTCATTGGCACTTGGAGGGAAGCATGAGGATTAAAAAAGAAATATGCAATGCTCACCTTACTAGACCTGGATGGAGGTGGGTGGTCCTTGGACTTCCCACAGGGCAGGGAACCCTGATTACTCTTTGGGCTGACGAGGGAGGGGGACTTGATTGGGGGAGGAGGGGAAAGGGGAGGCGGCGGTGGGGAAGAGACAGAAATCTTTAATAAATAAATAAATAAAAGAAAT